CCCCGCCGTGGGCAGCCGGTGCAGGCAGGGCAGGGCGTGGGTTCCGCGCCGAGCCGTGCCCATGCTCCCCCTTCCCACAACGGCTCTTCCCAGGAGCTGAATACTGAATAGCCCCTCCGCCAGTGCCAGCGGGAGAACCAGGAGCTCAACGCCCACAACCAGGTGAGGGTCCCCGCCGTGCCCGGGGCAGCCGGTGCAGGCAGGGTGTGACGGGCGAACCGCCCGACGGGCAGCGCGGTGGGCTCTGCGCCGAGCCGTGCCCATGCTCCCCCTTCCCACAACGGCTCTCCCCTCTTCCCAGGAGCTGAATAGCCGCCTGGCTGCGGAGATCACGCGATTGCGGACCCTGCTGACCGGGGAGGGCGGGGGAGAGGCTGCTGGATCGCCTCTCACGCAGGGCAAGGACGCCTACGAGCTGGAGGTGAGCTCTGCCACTGCCGCACCGAAGGGGCAGCATTGGCGGGCACAAGTGCCTGTGGACCCCCAGGACAGTGCTGTGGCCATCCATCCCTCCGCACATCGGGTCTGCGCGGCCGGTCGGCACTGTGCATCAGGGGTGCAACGGAGCCAGGAGCTCTTGGAGTCCTGATCTTCCCTTCTCACCATGTCAAGCCGGACACCCGCTCTTCCTTCTCCAGCCCTGCTTGTCCCCTGGGATTCAGTCCGCACAAGGCAGTGGGGACTATCAGAAACCGAGGGGTGTGCAGGGAACACATCAGCGATGCAAGCTTGGGCAAGTTCCCAAGAGACCCAGTAGTAATTCTCTTGCGTGAACCAGAAGACAGGTGAACCGGCAGCTTTGCGGTGCTGGCATGGAGCCGGCGTGGGGCTGAGCCTCCAGCCCTGGCTTGGCTGTCACCAGGCACAGCGGGCAAGCATCTCAGGATCGTGCTGCGTCTACTCGGGTGCAAACACGCGCTGCTTTTGTTCCCACAGGTCCTGCTGCGGGTCAAAGAATCGGAAATCCAGTACCTGAAGCAGGAGATCAGCTCCCTCAAAGACGAGCTGCAGACGGCACTGAGGGTAATGCCCAGGGACATTTCTGCAAATCCTCTTACAGGTTGTGCTCTGCTCCTGTGTGCGCGTGCTTAGATTTCAGCTCACTTATCCCAAGATTTGAAACAATATTTAATTTTTCCCCTGAATAGAATTGAATACCCATTTCGGTGTCATCAGTAAAGCGCTCCACAACTGTATCAGCTCAGGAGTTACCCCTTCTCCCTTCTAGTGGGAAAACATCCCCTTCAGTGTTTTTCCCTATTTCCTGTCACATCAGATCAGATTTGAAATGGCAAAAGTAATCGGTGTTAGAGATCTGCCCAGCCTCCCAGCATCGGATCTGGTTTGCTCTGGACGGCCTCTTTGCCAAGTCTGTTTCTGGGAATTCTGCTTCAATTCCGTGTCTTTGCTAAAATCAAAACCCACAAACAAGTAATTCTGTAACGAAGGGGCTGCGTGCACGGGCAGCCGCTGGGCTCACAGCTTTCTGCCTATCTCAAGTCCCGTACTGCTGTTAAAAGCGGCTTCGTGTGTGAAATGCGTGCGTTGCCCCGGCCGAGCACTTCTCCTCGCTGCCAGCTCTTCTTCCGTCGGCATTTGCCAAGCTCCTCTTCAGTGCATTCACAACCCCCTTGGCTCCAGCTGTATGTCTGACTCTGCTGGGTTGTTAGAATCATAGAATCATAGAATCATTGAGGTTGGAAAAGACCTCTAAGATCATCGAGTCCAACCGTCGACCCAACACCACCATGTCCACTAAACCATGTCCCTAAGCGCCTCATCTACACGTCTTTTAAATACCTCCAGGGATGGGGACTCCACCACTTCCCTGGGCAGCCTGTTCCAATGTTTCACCACTCTTTCAGTAAAGAAATTTTTCCTTACATCCAATCTAAACCTCCCCTGGCGCAACTTGAGGCCATTTCCTCTCGTCCTATCGCTTGTTACTTCAGAGAAAAGACGTTCTTGTTCTTGTTCTTGTTCCTTTTGACAGGATAAGAAATACGCCAGCGACAAGTACAAAGACATCTACACGGAGCTGAGCATCGTGAAGGCCAAGGCAGACTGTGATATCAGCAGGTTGAAAGAGCAGCTGAAAGCAGCCACAGAAGCTCAGGGAGAGAAATCCCCTGTGAACACCACTGTATCGGGATACGGTCAGTCCTCCTCCGGCAACTCTAAGCAGTCGTGGGTTTCCCGAGCTAACACGTGCATCCTGGCATACAAGCCCTTGTGCAGTAGCGGGTCTGGGGGGTGCTTTTTTGCCGTTTCATGCTGCTTCCCACCTCTGCTCCTTGCGGACAGTAGGGGTGCTTTTTTGCCGTTTCATGCTTCCCACCTCTGCTCCTTGCGGACAGTCTCACTGGAGATGGCAGGGACCAGGCACACCTGAATTGCCTTCCCGTGGCAGTTCCCCCCTTCCGGCCCCGCGGATGGGAAGCTGGTGGGCTTTGAAAGCCGCCTGGCATTTTACATTGGGAAAACCTCGTGCGACAAGCAGTGCAGGGGAGCGGAGACCCCCAAGAGTCCCCTCTGCCCTTCCGGCAGCGCTGCTTGAGTCGGGCACGTCGAGGCACCTGCCTGGGCTGGGAGGGCAGAAGAGCCCCAGTCCTGCTCCGTGCAGGAAGCCCGTGGGCACAGCGCTAACGCTGTTTTCTTTTACTTCTCCCCAGATATTATGAAATCAAAAAGCAACCCTGATTTCTTGAAGAAAGACAGATCCAGTGTTAGCCGGCAACTAAGGAATATCAGGTCAAAGGTGAGCTCAGATCTCCTTCCCCGTGTGATGAAAATGCCCAGCGTTACTCTCCGGTGGGGGGTCCCAGGTGGGAAGAAATTGGTAGGGGAAGAAAACTGAGAATTTCCCAGTCACCAGCGCTAGACTGGATGGCACTGGGGAGAAAAGCGAGCTTCTGACTATGGAACGGCTGACTGTGCAGCCAGGCAGGGCCCGCTCCCCCCCGCGATGCCCAGCAGGGCACACACACTCCTGAGCCTGCTGAGATCGAGGCGTGAAGCAGCTCCCTGCTTGAAAAAAAGGATGAAGTTCACCCTGTTCTTTGGTCTTTCACAGGAGGACTCTCCCAGTATTTGCTCCCCGTTTTCAGTTGAAATTTAGGTCGTGTCAATAGGTGGAAATGTGCACATCATTTTAGTGTTCATACACATACAGTGTTGATCACTGCAAGATTTTTGGTCTTTGTATGGACCAACGATGCCTTGGGCCAGGGTGTATTTAACACACGCTTTGCTTGTGTGTTAACACGGTGCAGATGGCCCTGTGTTTCTCTGGCTGTTCTGTACTTGCTGTTGGTCCCAAAGCCCAGTGATGCCGGGTCAAGCTCGCCTGCTTGGCCTGCTGACAGCCAGAGTTACATCGTGTTGCACACTGGCTGTTGCTGTTGGACCACGGGGCTAAAAAGGGCAAATAAAGCTGCTGAGAAGTCATCGTTAAACATAAGTCAGTTGGAAAGAAAATCAGCATGAGCAAAACTCGCTTTGCCTCTCACCACTGGATACCTGGTGTCTCATGCTGATGTTTGAAGTGGTTGGGACCTTGGGCAGAGCAAGAAGCCGGGCAGGCAAAAGGCTTCTAGCTCCATGCCCACGCTGGGGAAACGGTCACCACCCGAGCTCTGCGAGCGGCAGGTCATCAGCTTGGGGTGTCTGTGCTGCACCGAGTAAATACAGAGAAGCATCTCTGCGCATCTCAGGGGCAGCCCAGACCTGCTGGGCCGGGTCTGACGTTGGGTTTCCCTTCACCACTTCAACCCAGACCCCCTACCTTATGGTCCCCCGTGTGTGTTGCTTGGTGGGGGAAGGAGGAGAGGAGAGCAAGCATGGGCTCTGCCTGGGCACGTTGCCTGCTCGCATCGCTGCCGGGGCGGGGGGGGCTGGGGCTGTGCGAACGCCAATGCGTGTGGATTTATGAGCTTCTTGTTTTGTTTTGTTTTCTTTATTTTGCTTTTTCCTTCAACAGTCCGTTATTGAGCAGGTCTCATGGGATAACTGAAATGAACCCGAGTCCAGGTTCCCTGCCACATAGGTAAACAAACCAGCACCCACCAAGCGACGCAGCTGCCCACTGGAGCGGCCCACTTTTTGCATGCACTGCTCACACCTCCATGGCAAACCAGAGCCCTTCTTCTCTTAATGACTGACTGGTTTATTTACGGCTAATTATTTTACGGGGGGAGGGAGAAGGGGAGGGGAGAAGTCAGCAGACCCAAGATCCGTATGAAATGCAGTCTCTCTGGCTCTTCCCTGGGGAATATGGCTTTCTCGTCTTCCTGCTCCTCCCACCCTCCCCAACACAGCTAACCATCGCAGAGAGGATTTGGACACGGTGGGGCACGTTTTCCTGTTTGCTGTGTTGGGAGCGCGGGACATCGAGTGTGCATGCTTGAATGACTCTGCATGCCTCAGACTAAACTTCAGCAACATCCAGGTCTTGTAGGAAAAATAGCCAGTTAGCTGTTAGCCGGGCAGAGGAGTGGGTCAGTGATGCCTATAAACGCATTTCCCACAAAGGCCTGTAGCATGTAAAATGGTGGCCCTCGTTTCAGCTGCAGAGGAGATGTCCAGGACTGCCCTAAATTTCCTTTACCCCTAATTGCTGCTTCTTTAGGTTGATCTGTGCCTGAGCATAGGAGTCTTCTTTGCCCGGTAACTTCCTCCTGCTCTCCAGGCTTCCTCCAGCCCCCCGGTGTCCACCCCGCTGCTCCATCCCTTGGCACTGCGCCTCCGTCCCACCTGCTGACCTGAGGCTTCCGGGCTTATCCAGCAAAAGGAGGGAGCTGATGAGAAACGAGGCCGATCCTAATGACCCAAATGTCTCAACTAACTGGAGCAATAGTTAATTTATTGGCCCATGGTAAAGACTGAGGTTAGAGCACCTGCAAAGGGGGGGTTAGAGAAAAGAGGGGAGCTCCCCAGCACGGTGGCAGAGGGGTGGCTGGAGAGCCCCAGGAAGTCTGATGGAGGATCCCTTTGTCACAGATTTCATCCTACATTAGTCTCCCTTCGTCAGGCTCCCTTCATCGGCAACTCAAATGGGTTGTGAGACTGCCTAAGGGGTGAATTTGCTGGAATTTGTACCATCAGGCAGAACAGTCTAATAGTTTCTGTTGTCTCCTTCCATCTAATGAGAAGTCAGACGTACAAGCTGGAGTGCATGGGTTGCTGCCTATTTAAAGAGGCCCAAAGTAAACTTCCTTTAGGAAGTGTGCGCTCAGAGACCCGCATCCCAAGAGACTCTGCTGCCCGTTGAAAAGAAAGCATACGGCATTTGTAAATTCAAACCAATCCCTTTCAGTGCTTTCATTTCTGTGCTGCTTCCCAAAGCCGTTCTGTATTTGTGAGCCTGTGGGAGGAGAAACATTTAAAGAAATACAGTAACCATGGGAATCTGCACAGCCTTGGGGCAAGTTTATCATGGAGTCCTGCCTTGATAAACACACGTTGAAGAAAACCCAGCCCAAAAGTCCAACCTGCTGCTGTGATTGTACAGTCCTCTGGCACCACGGTCAGGGAAGTAAAAGCAAAAGGGGAGATGGCTGCCCGTTAACAGAAGGGGCTTTGCGTACAGGTCTGTGCCTTTTGAAGCTGCCACGTCTTGGTCTGTTAAGGCAAATAATGTTCCAGCTGCAGAGTGAATTCCTTGCAGGTTGCGAGGAATCGGCTTGCAGGCAGCGGTTACCTGCGGGGTGCATGCAGGCAGCTGGCTGCCTGTCCCAGGTACAGCCCAGCAGCGAAAGCCTTGACAGAGTGTAGGGGCCGAGCCATTGCTCGCTGGGCCTGGCTGTTGGTTAGGGAGAAGTCTGTGCCTCCTCAGCAGCAGCAAGCAGGGAAAACTCACTGGTGTTCTGCTCCCCTGAAGCTCTTATGCCACAGTTTCAGGGCTGCAGGAAGGAGGGAAGGCTGGCTTTAGGCTTGTGCATCTCCTCGGGCTAGTTTCAGGTTAAAAACTTACAGGCGGCAAGCAATTTGCTTCTGGGTTTCTACCCCTCACATTGCTGTTCTCCTGGGTCCCCACATAGGCAAGAGTAGAATTCACAAATCGACATGCTGAGGGCTTAGTGGGGCAGGCTTTTCTGTTGGCTAGCTGAGTGTCGTGCCTCTAAATCTGGATGCTGCATCTGAATTGGATCAGCCATCAGATCCTGCTAGAGCTGAAGCAAGCATTTAGCGAGTCCTCTGTCTAACCCTGTGCAGTAGAGGCAGCTTTGGCTTGGGAGAGCCCCCAGGCTGGGGTTAGAGAAAGGGTGGGATTGTCACTGGCAACAAAAAACGCAGTTTCCAGGGCTGCTTGAGCAAAGCCTGCACATTGACCGGAGCCAGGACGGTCCCAGACGGACGCACGTTCAGTTGGTGCTGCAGTGGCGTGGGCAGGCGGGGAGGACTGGCGTGCAGGTCCTGCTCAGCAGCGCAGTGCTTTAGCGTAGCAGATCCGAGCTGGCCTGCCCGGGGTTCCCGCAGTGCCGGAGCTCTGCTGAAATTGCCCCAGCCACCGCTGCACCGCAGGCTCCGGGGGGGTCATTTTCCGAGTCGAGTTAATCCTGCTTGCAGCATGGTGTGCCTCTCATTTGCTTCTGGTACGTCGCCTGGTTAATTTGCAATCTCACCCTCTCTCTAGGCGCATTCACCAATAACCGCCCTCCATAACCGTGTGTTCTCTCTTAGCATGTCCCACTAATCTCTCTGCCAAGGAGGCCATTCTCCCGCTGCCCACGTCTCCTTTGCCTGAGCATCGCACCTTTCCTGTGTGCCAGATGCCCACTGCTGCTGCCTCCCACCCGTGTCCGACACTGTCTGTCTTTTCTCTCTCCCAGAGTCTGAAGGAAGGCCTGACTGTGCAAGAACGCCTGAAGCTTTTTGAATCCAGGGACTTGAAGAAAGACTAGTTCTCCCCGCTCCGCTTGACCACGCGCACCTCCCAGCTTGAGGCAGCACAGCACCAGCACCGTTTGTCTCTCGTTCCTTAACGACTGTCCTTGCTGTCGTTCGTCTTGACGCCCCCGACGGGACCCGGCGCCGCGGTGGCGGTGCCCCCCGCCGCCCCCTCGCCTCCCCAGCACCTTTCCCTGCTTGTGAGACACTCTGGAGACTCAGAGAGGGAGAGGAAGGGATCGGGGTGGGGTTTTTTCCCCTCTCTTCGGTGCTTTGTAGGAGAATCCTTCCTTTACTGTAAACCATTACACTAAGTGTCAGTATTAAGGCTCAGTAGCCTGTTAATAAGCTAGCTCTGTCGTACCAACTGTTTTGGTATGCAAGCAGGGCCTGGGTGGTATCGGCCATACCTAGCTCTTACTGCTGTCAGGAGACCCAGTGCTCAGAGCACGCCAGGAGCCTAATCTAACCATTGATCTCGATTGCATTACTTGCACCTACAAGGGGGGGAAAGCCTGGGGGAAGCTGTCGGGGAGCGCAAGTCCGTGCCGGCGTACGCAGCCTGGAGGTACAACACTGACATCTCGCTGGAGAAGGATGCAAGAAATGATTCTCCTGCCCCATGACTGTGCCGTATCCTGAATGTAGGCGACACCGAAGCCCGGCGAGCTTTGGTGGCTGCCCAGGTGGTTATGGATAGGGAGCTGCAGATACTCATGTGCACCGTCGAGTCCGCCCCATCGGCATGTCTTTGCCTCCCGTCTCGCTGGTGGTCGGAGTCGGTGTTTCGTGGGCTGAGCTGTAAGATCACTTTCTTGCCTCTGTTAGATCAAGCCCAGCACTCCCTTTTTTTGCTGTTACTCCCTTCCTCTCATTGAGTCCCGTGTATCCCAGGGTCTGTGCGCATGTGAAACTCCCTTTTCCTAGTCAAAGGAAAGTAGAGTAGAAAGTAGAGCCAATATTGACTGAAAATGCACAGTGCTCAATGCATATAATGCTCCTTTTTTATCAGCTTCTTGAATTCAACTCTTCTTGTCAGCAGGGCAGCTCCTATTTTAATTCTTTAATCTTTTTCCTGAAATAAAAATCTCAAAACCAGTATGTGCTTCAGACCTTCTCAGTCCTAATAGCTTTTGTGTTTAAAGCATACAATTTAGCACCCTGAGGCCAATAAACGGATGCAAACCAAAAGTGAGGTGAGGGAGCTGGTAGCACTAGATGCAGCACACGGCCAGCCGAGCAGAGGCTGTCTTCCTAGAAGCCTACGCTGCTTTGCAGCATCAGGGCTGCCCCGGCACGGTGGCTTCATCCCGGGCTGGCGAGAGCGTTTCAAGATGCCACCTGTAAAGACCCCCAGGTCCTGCCTCACCGATAGTCCTGGCCGGGAGCAGGGCTGAAGCAGCGCTCCGGCATGTTGGCTTCCCAGCCCCGTTTAGCTGCCGAGCGACCCGCAGCACGTTGGGCTGGGCTGTTAAAATTACACCTTAGTCTTCACGTGGAGCAAAGCTTCCTCTTGTCTTTCGGGTGCTTAACAAACACGTGGTTGAAGCAGGCAGCTCTGCGTGCTTTCACGGCTGATCTTGGGTCCGTTAGGCGGGCGGTACAAGCGCAGCCCTCGGAGCAAACTCTCGCTGCAGCTCTGGAGCAGCGAGTGCTGCGGGGCTGGTGACAGCCATCTCCAGTCCTGCCACCAGGTTGGACCACGGCGGGTGCCAGAGAGTTCGCCCTCATCCTCCTGCTCCGAGCAGCTAGTCTCTGTTTCAGCCACCAGACCCTCGGCAAGAGATGGTGTCATCTAACCACGGCGTGAATCAGGCTCTCGTCCAGCTTGTGTGGCCTTGCCATGGCCAAGCGCTCGGCTTGACGCCTCCTGGGGCACTCGTGGCAGCGCATGGCAGCCGTCCGGTCCTGCCCGTGGGAGCCCTACTTGTCCCCAGCCAAGATGCCAGCGCCGTGCAGCGGGCAGAGCACGTACGGGGATGCTCTCCCGCTGTGACGCTCTGTAATCCGTGCCTGGGTGTACATGGAAGTCCTGGAGATAGGAGCAGGGTAGGAAAGATGCTCAACCACTCGGATACAAAGGCTTTTCCCTCGTCAGCAGGCACGTGCCCTCTAAGATGTTTTGATGTGCAGCCACTCGCCCTAATCCGAGCTCACCGTAGCGCTTTCCGTAATCTGAGCGTTGGAGGATCCTGGAGCCTTCTCAGCCATGACCCACCTGGACCGCCTCTCCGATCCGCCATCAGCCGCTCCCAGGAGTCTCGGTGCTGCTCCTTGCGTTGTGTTTGCTTTCACCCGTCAGTCAGCAGCCGCCTTAGTCCTCCTCCCATCCCGCCGTGGAGGAACGTGGCCTGTGCGCCCAAAGCTGCGCCATCAGCTTCTCGCCGGCATGATGGGAGTCCAAACCGGGGAGCCCCAAAGTGGAAATGGGCGGCTTAGCGCGGTCCTGGGGCTGTGGAAATAACTGCTCTCACCACGCTGAGCTAGCTAATGGCCTTCTAAAGCATAGACTGTTGTTGATAAACCCATGAATGTTGGTAATGCTTAGCAGTGGCTTTTTATAGCCATGGCACGGCCTCCTGCTTCCCGTCCAGCTGAGGAGATCCAGATGCAGCTCTCCCTTGTTGTAGCCCTTCCCAAATTCAGCCTTCTCCAGGTCAGGTGTGCATGTGTTGTGCTTAGAAGTCCACTTCTGGAAGAAGAGGGTCCTTTGTCACTAGTCGTGTGCGGGGTTTCTCTCTCTCTCTCTCTCTCTCCCTGCTGGCATCTTGCACTTGACTGAAGTGAGAGGTCTGGGTCTCTGGTATAACCTCACAGTTGGGTGAAGGGTGCGTGTTCAGGTCCCCATGCTCACAGCAGCTGGGAACGTGACACTTCAGTGGCATCTACGAGCAGTTAAAGGCAGTCCTTAAGTTAAAGCAGGGACACCAACACCTGCCCAGCGGAGTAGGCTGCAGGACCAGCAGAGATGTCAGTGCTGTGGCCCAGGTTCATCTAAATTTGGGCTAGGTGGGAAGGTGACTCCATCCACTGTGGTTTGTATGTTGTATACGCCTTTCTGACAGTGTCAGGAGACGGTCACCTGGCCCAGGTGCCTGGCTTGGTCCCATCCAAAGTCATCTGTCCAGCTCTCAGCAGGGACAACCTTTACACTTCATCCCTGGCTGCTCCGGGTCCGTGGTGAGCTCTGCTCTCTGGCAGCTGTGATCTCCTGGCAGAGGCCTTGGGACGCAGGATTAGGATGGCGTGTAGGCCTTGTCATTGTCATTGCTCTTCCCTTACAAGACGTCACTGGCTCCAGGAGGATGCCCTCCTCCTCTTCTTCTCTCAAAACATATGGTGGGACTTTGTCCTTTTTAGCCAACCGAGCAGAACGTGCGCTGGTCTCCTTCTCGCCATGTGGACCCTGACCTTTCTTACGTCCCCTAGCAAATCCTGCTTTTTCTTTGCGTACCTCATTTGCTCAGGAGCACTTATTTTAAGCGTGAGGACTAGAAGTTACGTACCTTGCTATTTGCATTGGCACATCAGTGGCATGGAGGACACAAGATGGACCCTTTGTGATACGGGATCATGCCACTGAGCATCTTGAGGCTCCCCACGGGGGGATGTTTTCTGCTGTACGCTTGCTCGTGCCAAGAAATCCTCTCTTGCGGCTTAGCGTCCTGCCTGGGACTAGGTATTGGGCCTAGCGAGTAAGAGCACTTGATTTCTTTGCCAGTGCTCCTGCTTCGAGCCTTATTTCTTAATGTAGAGAACAGCTGGGTAAGTGGAGGGCACACACGGGGCGATCAGGTGGGGATCATCCCCAGCTTTTGACTCGGCATGTGTAAATACATTAATATGATAATTTTTTTTTTTTAAAAAAAAGGGGTGAGGATGGGCAGAAAGGCACTGCAGCGTGTTGGCAAAGGTGGCAGCACTTGGGTGGCGGATAGTGCAGGAAGGCAGAAGGAGGTGCGATAAAAATGCAGTGGCACAGGGAGCCGTGCAAAGCACGGGGGTACTGAAGACGGGGAGGGTCCGGAGAGGCGCTTTCTGCTTGTGCTCTGGCCCTAAATTGCCCTGTGAAGAGAGGCTGCGGGGGGGGGGTGGGGTATTGTTTTATAAACATATAAAAATGTATATACTGATGTTTAGTGGGGGGAAAAGGTCACCCAGGAACACTTGTACAGCTCTTGCTCCTTTCCTGTAGACGTGCCCATACGCTAAGCAAGGGATCGTATATAACTTCTGGGCCACTTGCGTCAATTCTTCACCCGAGGCAACGCACACGGTGTTTTCCATCTCTCTGGTGAGGCACTGCCAGGAGATCCAGCACCAGCAGGAACGAAGCTGGATTTTCTTCTCCTCTCTTTCCTCTAGTTTGTTTTTACCTTATTGCACAGAAAATGTCAGTCCTCGCATCACACACACCCCCCTCCCCCTTTTATGGGCTCCCTGAAACAGCTGTAAAATGATTTGAACTGAGGTTTGCTGGGACTCCTGTATGAACAGGATCAGACCCGGGGGAGCAGCTGCTCAGAGGTTTGCTATCGGGGAACTTCGGTTTAATACATATTGGCCAGCTTCTCCGGACCTTCAGATAGCTGAGAAAAGCAAAACGGGCAGGTTTGCTGGGGGAAAAAAACACCCTGGCACGAGCGACGGGTGTAGCTGAAATAAAATGTGTTGGATGGCAGGAGGACAGCCGCAGGGAACAGGGCGTGCGGAGGGACGGGTGGGACTGGCTGCCATTGTCATGGTTTTAGCAACGTTTAATAAGCCAAATCAATTAATCTTATTGCTGAACTTCGTGGGTTTAAAATATTTATCGCTAAGCAAAGGGGTCTTTCATGAACACGGTGGTGGCGGTGGTCTCATACGCTGTAGCTTGTAGGAGCAGCCATCTTCCACTGGGGAGTTAGGCTCCTTTGAAAATTAAAACAGAGAACCTGGCTCTGCTGTACCGAAGGCGCATCGGGGGCTGAGCAGCGGCCGCTTGGCATCGTCAGGATCAACCGCACCCTTCGGGGCAGCACTTCACGGGGTGGGAGCGCTGTGTACAACGTCTTACGGCGGCAGCTGCGAGTTCTGGGGGGGGGGGGGGGTCACGGGAAAGGAGGAGGAGGGAAGATGCTTCTGTTCTGAACTCCTGCTGCAGGCTGTGCTCCAGGCTTCGGGCCCTGCTCCGCTTGCAGTCTGGCAAGTATCTAAGCAGCTCTCCAAAGCAAGAGGCAGTACATTACCTGCCTTTACATTAAAGAAAGAGGGAGAACCTGCAGCACCAATAAACGGCCGAAAACTGAAATATTTCTGCAGAGAGCAGTGCTTTAAAATAAGGGGAAAAAAAACCCAAGCCAGCTGGAAAGCTTTTTACTGATAGCGGTGGTCCTTAGTTATCCTATTGCTTCTGCCTGCTCCAGGCTTCAGCCGTCTTTCACGCTAAATCCGTGGCTATTTAAATTAGCGAGAGTGTGTTGGGGGGGGGAAAGTATGGGGAGGAGAGGGCGAGCTCCCCGCTTGCGCTGGAGGCTTTCACAGTCTGTCTGCATCGCTCGCTGCCCAGTGCAGCAGCTCAGCATGGCGCCGGCCGCGGGCTTTGCCTTTCGGTGTGGTCCAGGTTCCTGCTGTGCACGACGGGGCGAGGCCTCGTAGGTATCCTGCTTCGGACGCTCTCCAGGGCACCATATACCCACGGCGTAACACGTGAAATGCAAGCCGCTGCGTTTTACACAACTCTACCCTGTTGATAGTGCTGAAATGTGAGGTCTAGGAGAAGTCAAGTGCAACGAAGGTGCAGGCACAGCCGCCTTTTAATTGGCTCCAAGTAGGTTGTTTTTTTTTTCCCCTGCGTAAAATCTTCCTGCCATTTGTACCGTCTCCCCTGAAACGGACTGAATCCTTCTTTAAATGTGACCTTTTCTTTGCCCACATATAAAAAAAGCAGCAAACGGTGCTCATTTGCTTCAAAACTAGAATGGTGTGCTGACTTGCAAACCAGAAAAGTCTCTTTTTATTTTGTGTTCTGTGACAGAGGTGGACTGGGCTGCATTAATAGTGCTGCCCCCAGCACTGTAAAATGTGTCACTTTTGTACCAACTCTATACTTGATTGCA